ATAGTCAATGCTATATCATCATCATCATTACATACTTGTTTTTCAAAATTAAGTGTCCATGTGTCTATTTAGGTACTTGTTCTATGAGTCCATCTGCATGTGGCAAGTGCCCCACAACTGTTCAGTATTGCCATAGATCTCTCTATTCATGGTCAGGCTCATAACCTATATTTAGTAGTCTGTTTCATTTCATGGCTCTATGAATTAGAGAGGCTGAAGGTTCTATGAAGTTTGATCTGGATATAACTTCATACTTAAGAAATAAAGTTTAATAAGTATCTATTGAATACTTGTGATGTACAAAATACAATGTATTTCCATTTGTAGATGAATAAAATAATCCTAAGCAAACTATAACTTATTGTGAGCAATGTCAAGCACACATCGCTCCAATACAAGACAGTGTAAGCAGACCTAAGATAGTGATATTGATGTTTAAAAGTGAACAGGATTGTTGTGGAAGGAGTAGTGGTAATGAGTGGCCAAGGAAGACTGAAAATCAGGAAAATCTTCATGGATGATACGACTTATGAAAAAAGTTTCAAATTCTGTGTATAGTTTTGAAGGGTAGAGAAGAAGAGAAGGCTTTCTAGCAAAAAAACCCATTATGAGTGAATGAAGCTATTCAGCTGAAAATTAGGTTGTCATGATTGGAGAACAGGAAATGGTCTTTTAAATGATTAATTAAAATCAGAGCATTTTCATTTTAAATTTAAAGTGGAGCAGATTATAATTAAAATTTGAAAGAATGTATTTTGATGAGGGCAGGAAATAGCCACAGATCAAATTGTAGAAAAACTAAAATGTTTTTCAGACCCATATTACTATTCATTTAATCACAATGGCTAATTATTAAATGTATTTGAGAAAGAGGTCAAGACTCACAGAACTGTATTTTTATGCTAATTTGAATTTAATAATTAGAACTCTAGGCCAGTGGTCATGTATTTGTGTGAATCATAGATCCTAAAGTTCCACAGACTCTCACCTGTATTCGTTCCACTTCCAGAAAGGTTGCTGTTTGGAAGGCTCTTTCCCACTGGGCAAGGTCACAGTCTAACTCCACAGAGAAGTAGAGGTCTTCCCCAGACTCGGACTGCACAGTGAAGCAGTGTTTCCGCCCGTCCAGCAGGTCACTGTCCTGATGAAAACCTGGAGTTACACAGGCTGGCATACATGAATTCATATTGTTAACATGGTCACACCTTGAATCAATGTGACTAATGCATAGTGGAGATGCCAAAGTCATAAAGATTACTTTATTTTTTTATCATGTAATCTTCATTAAAAATGGTCATGGCAGCTAAATTCCAGGCCTCAAAGTCCATAACTAATACATTTCTTTTCTGTATTGACACTGAAGTATGTCCATAAAATAAAAGTTTGTATTTCTGGCTTCAACTCTTACTAGCAATGTAACCACCAAACAATTTAATACATGAGATTCAGTTTTTACTGTACAAAGGGATAACACACAATCTCCTTTTTCCCTCTACAGAGCTGTCAAGATGATACAATTAAATAGAGTGTGAGTTTGGCCCCAATAGAAATAATAGCATGCAGAATACTTTTTGCATATTGGAAAGTATCATTTAATAATGGTAGTAAAATAATAGCTAAACATATCTGGAATACTATTGTACATTCCTCTCATTTATGATTTCTCCTTCAGAAATATCCTCTAGTTTTTTAGATTTATTCCAAGTCTCCAGGACACTTTCTGCAGAATAATAATCAAATGCTGTCCTTCCTGGGACATGTCTGAGATTTATAAAGCAATATTAAATAGAAACAGCATATTACAAATATGTTTGATAGTAATGTCTACATTTTTTTAGGGTATTCAGAGGTTAATGGGCCTACCCAAAGTGTATTTCTATTTTTAAAACAACCAAAATAAATCATGTGCTTATAATAACTATTGAACATATAAGCATCACCAGTCATAAATTTTCTACTGTACTTAAAACATATAAAACTAAAGGCAGAAAAAGCTGCAAAAATTTTTTGAGTAATTTATTCCTATGGCAAGTTTCTGCATTTATCAGTATGGCTTCTTCTCTCCTTTATACTATATCACCCAATATTTACTAATATGACAAGTTACTTGTTTCCCACTGTGGACAGAATAGGGGCCACATACTAAACCTGACAAGCTCAGGGGAGGCCAGCATGGCAGGTTGTACAAACTCAGAGACTGAAATTAATCACATAGGATCTTCTAAACATAAAAAGTCCTAACTAAAAGCAGTCATGGCTTGTATTCAATCCTTGGCCTATAGCTTCCTTGAAAAAGTCAATCATTACCTTAATCTTTACCTGTCTATTGTCTTTTTGCATCTAAGATAATATACCCTTGGAATGTCAGAGTAATCCCTTTTTCCAGAACGCTCAAGGCACAGCACAACTCACCAGAGCAGAAGACCACAGAACCCCTCATTGTTATCTTATTCCCCAAATACCATTTCTGTGTGCTATAAATGTTAACTATCAACTATCATGTACTCACCAATGTAAAAGAAGTGTCTCTCCATTTTACTTTTTATTCAATCCCAGAGATTTCCCCATTTTACTTTCTCCTAACCCCTTAATCTACCACAAAAGTGTTTCATGTTACCTTCCTTATGTCTCCTCCTTTGATTCTAATGTATAAAATAAGCTGCAAAAGTGCCTGGAGCTTAATCTGTTGAGGTTTTGCTTCCTGGCAATTGCTGTCAGTTTGTTCAAATAAACTCATGAAAGTTCCCCATAGGTTTACATGTTTCTTTCATCAATACCTATTTTCCAGATACACTTATCATTGCTCTAATAATAGCTATTTTTTCTTCAAGTTCATGGTATTTTTGGAATTCAAAATGGAAATTAAAAAAGACAGATGAAGGATATTTTATTTTTATATCAAATATAAATTACTTTATAAACTATATGACTAAACTAATATGTTATTAACTGTTATGTTTGTTACTGCTTCTTTTTTTGAACTTGTAGTGAATCAGGAAATTATTCAGTCATTAGGCATAGTGTTATTTCAAACAAACAAAATTTGTGATTTTTAATGAAAAAGAACAGACCCAGGATGGATTCTTCAGTTATAAATAATAATTTTTATTCTTTAGCAACTATTTTAGTAATTTAAAAAGAGAGGAAAAACGTACCATCAAAATTAACTCTTACTAATTATTTTTTAATTAGACTTTTTTTGAGGAATTATCAATCCTCTAAAAGGAGTTATTAAATCTACATCAATTTCTGTGCAAAAAAAGTTAGTTTTAATAACATTTATAATACTATTTTTCATTTCTTATGAAAAAAATCTCAATATTGCTGTGTAGTGAAATTTGGATATAAATAAAAATATTGTGAAGAATATCATCATTAGATTTTGCAAAAGAGTACGAGGTGTGATCACAAAATATGGTGAACGTTTAAATAAAAAAATTATTACAGTAAAAGACACATTGCTGTTAATCCCCCTCAAAATATTCCCCCTTGCTTCAAACATAGTTATCCCATCCATCTTGACATTTTCTGAAGCAGTTCTGGAAGTCCTCTTTCATGAGTGTTTTTAGTTGTTCTGTCATGACTGCCTTGATGTCCTGAATCAATTCAAAACATTTACCTTTCATGGTTANTGTAATTAACAAACAAGGAGAAAAAAGAGGGAAAGGAAGAAATAAATCTATTTCAAGGAAATTTTCAATACCAATCCTTACATTGTATTTGTTTTTGTGTAACTGTATATAAAAATACATTAAATGAATCACATTCTCACTACAATTTTGGAGAAATGCATCATTGCCTTAATCAAAAAGCTATATTCTATATTAATATGTTTAAGTCCAATTTGCATAGGAAAGTTATAACCATGCCAAGTTATTCATTTGGATTTAACTTTTTTTAAAAAAGGAAAATTAGCAAACAAACCTAATAAAACTTATGTTTGTTTTGGGGTGCAATTTTATTCATTTAATACATGGACAACTTTTATACTTGCATCCACTGATTACCTTTTTGTTAAAACTACTATTAACATTAAGGAATGTTCAAAGCTATCTCATTTCCTCTAAGGTAGACATAATTGTTTGATACTTCAAGTACTATCATTTTTAAAAATACGTCAGGTGAAAATATTAAGTATTACAGAAAATTTTATTTCTTTAAGTTCAGAATTACAAATTAAGTTACATTGTTTCAATAATCATTAAATGGAAACAGATATGATATAAATTGAAATACACTGAAGTTTTAATTCTATCATATCTAATCTGAATAAACATCTATAATGAGTATTCTTAATATATCTTTCACATTGAAATATTTGATTTATTGTTTAATTTCTAAGTTCATTTTATATAAAAAGCTGAATTATAGTTAGAAAAATGCAAAAAAATTTAGGGAAGTTCAAACTAGAAACACTTTAAAAGTTTTTGCACAATTATATGTTATTATAATACACAACATTTAAAGATGCATCACACAAAATACTTGTTAATATACCCCTTTGAATGACAGTTAAATGTCCATGGCTTGATAACACCCATAGGAAAGTATTTGCAATAATAATTAAAGGAAATAATTATTTCCTTTTATAATTATATTCAAAAGTAAAATGGTCACTTTTGAAAATATACTCTTAAAAGTCCTGTTTTAAAAGAACTATTATTTTTTCAAATTAAATTAACATAAGGTCTAAAACATTTATCTACTTTTTACTAGTATTATTCATTTACTTTGGGAAAATTGTTCAGAAATAGGACAAGCAAAGGTACTAAAAATACTATAAGTGAATTAGACTTAATACTGGTACTTTGAATACTAGGGAATTGTAAGATTTTATTCATATAAATTTTTACCTTTCTATTTCAATATTTACTACATTTTCTAATATTAAGATGTGAGTTTAAATGTCAATGTAAAATATTTAGAAATACCTGCATTCAATGGATTACTTCTTAAATATGTAGATATTTATAACAAAATTAAGTATATTAGAAACCAGAAAACTTGTAAATAGATAAAGGAATAGATTACAAGCTAGAATATGTTAGACTGAAGTCCCATTAATGAAAACGAATTTCTAAATAAAAATAATTTTATTTATTAATTTATTAATCATATTAGTCACTTCATTAATTTTCTACATTTCTGCCTATTTCACTATAGGACACTTGTTCCCTCTTTATTTATTTATTTTATCAACTTTAATGTTAGTGGGAATACTGAGAACATAGAAGGAAACATATAAAGTTCTTTGGTAATTATATGCATATTCTTGAATTTTGAAAATAACACTACCAAAGTGTTTAGTCATTGACTATTGATTTTTGATAAAATAATTGATATAAAAATATTTTTATATTTATATAGAAAATTTATGACTCGGAAATTATGGTTTATAATAAAACTGAAAGCTAAAATGGCATTAAATATTTTACTTTTCATGTACTATATCCATTTTAAATTGACATTGTGAGTAGTTAAGT